TTCTTTGTTGCTTTGTATGTCCCTCCCCCACGGTATAACCCCTGCTTTCACTGTATTTGATGTCGGTATAATTTGTGGAGGGGAAGGGGAAAAACAAATTAAATAGGGATACAGTTGGACCCATTGCAACAATGAGATGTACAAGTTGTTATGTCAAAAACAAACTTTACAACTTTGGTGGGGGGGAGGGTTTGGTGGGGGGGATGGGGAGGAAGATGGGATGGGAAGGGGAAACAAAGGAGGAGGCTACAATGCTTGATAAGAAATGTACTCATTATCTTGCCCATGTAATTGTAACCCCTCTGTATTTTTACAATAAAAAAAAGTAAAAAAAATGGTATTGTCCTTGGTTTCTTGGGTGAAAAAGTCAGACCCTCAGTTTAAGCTCCAGTATAGGCACATTAAACAAACAAACAAACAAACAAACAAATAAATAAAATGGCATGCATACAGTTATGAGAGTTGAGTGAGGTAGCCTTTGAAAGGTTGATAGGGAAATTCCTTTTGTCTTCTAGGAAGGGTTTAAGGGCAGCTCTTTGGCAACAAGTATCCAGGAACTCAATGTGTGTCCTGGTCACGCTCTGCTGGGAGGAGGATGGAGAGGGCTGAAATTGTCACAACTTCTGTCCACAGGATCGGCTTTGCCATCGCCCGCCGTCTGGCCCAGGAAGGGGCCCACGTAGTCATCAGCAGCCGGAAGCAGCAGAACGTGGACCAAGCTGTGGCCATGCTGAAGGAGGAGGGGCTGAGTGTGACGGGCACCGTGTGCCATGTGGGGAAGGCTAAGGATCGAGAACATCTGGTGGCCACGGTGAGTGGTCAGAGGGTGGGACATATGGGGATCTGTTGAGCCAGCCCTGACAGGAGGGAGGTGGGATCTCCAGCACTGAAATCTAGGCCCGTCCTACCAGCCCAGAACACAGATGTGTCCAACAGATTTCCTGGTGGAGAACTCAAGTGGGCAGATCAAACAGTGGTCTGCTGAGAAGCCACTGGGCATGACTTGGAAGCTTGCTGGAGATCCAGAACCTTGCATGTCTCCAGGACAACTGACCTGAAGGCTGCATTTCTCTAAGATCAGTCTATGGTAAAGTCAGCAGCATAGCTCTGGTGCCCACAGGTGTTGGGATGGGAGCCTCTGAGGTAGAACTTTCCTGGATGCCAACCCTGAAAGAGGTGAGTGTGAAGCAGAATTGGAGGATGCGTGAAATAGGCCGATGCTGTGGTAGAGAATAGGTTCTTGCTCTGACAGACCAAAAGAGGATCCTTCCAGAGCCAAGGGAAAGCAGACAAGGAATTGATTAGAAATAGGAAAAGTGAAAGCAGGTTACCTAGTGAATGAATGAAGTTCTGGATGAGTGAGGATTAGAGGCCAAGCTGGCATGTCACAGAGATTAAAACTTGAGGATTCCAAGGAGGTAAGACACAATGTTTTACTCATTGACTACCAGAAGGATCCAGTTCTTTCTGGTGGAGCCCTAAGAAGTTATTTATTTCCTCCAGGCCATCAGCTCTTTACTGCATTCCTTCAACCAGATCCTCTGTCAATTTCCTCTACAGGCACTGGAGCATTCTGGGGGTGTTGACTTCCTGGTGTGTGTTGCAGGGGTTAACCCCTTGGTGGGGAGCACTCTGGGATCTAGTGAGCAGATTTGGGACAAGGTGAGGATTGAGTATTATTATTATTATTACTATTATTATTATTATCTTTATGTAGTTGTACAAGGCAGTTGTAATTCAACAAAAAGTGTATGAATACAATGCGTCTTGACCAATCACCCCTTTCAATATTCTCTCCCATCCCTCCCCTACTATCCTTCTGTCACTTTTGAGGATTGGATCTAATATATCTCACATAGCACTCCATCTATAGTGTTTGTGTGCATGTGCACACACAGTATCTAGACTTCCCTATGCACATACACACCGGCTCTGATGGGTGGGGTTGTGGCTCACTTAAGTCAGACTTCCCGTTAGTTAAGTTCAACAGGCATTGACCATGCCCAGACCACTAGACTCCAACAGCCTGATTTGTATTCAGTCTCCCTACTCTAGTTTGCTACAAAGTGTGAAGATGCTAGAAGATATTTCTGGGTCTGTCCATTGTAGAGATCCTCTCCAGCCCAGGTTTCTGAGGCTGCCCCAATCTGGACCCACTGAAACACCCCACGGATCATTCAAACTGGCTGTCACAAACAGTCCCTCTGAACTGTCATGGGTGACAGAAGCCTTCTTCCAGGCCTGACAATCCCGTTGGAAACCATGTGCAGTCCAGGGGTCCTACTGCCTCAGTAGACTCCTGTTTCTTCTATCCTGTGTTATCCACCCAACACAGCTCAGTCCTGGACCACCTTCTGACCACTAGGAACAGAGAATGTATCCATGACAGGTGGGAGTCATTCTCATCTCAGGGGTTCTTCCTGCTCACATCCCCTTTTTTTCTGATACACTTGGCCCACTTTCCCTAAAGGGTTCTCAATTTCATGGCCATCTTGACCCACCTTCCAACTAATTCCCCCTCATGACTGTCAGGAACACTCAGGCTTTTTCAGTTAAAAAAAAATGATAGTGGTTCACACCTGTCATCCTAGCTACTCAGGTGACTGACATCTGGAGGTGTATAGTTCCAAGCCAGCTTAGGCAGAAAAGTCTTAGAGATTCTTTCTCCAATTAGCCAGTGAAAATCCAGGCTGATGGCCTGCCTCAAGAGCACCAGCCACGCACAAGCAATCAGATGAGGATTAGGCCCAAGCCCCTGTACTAGAACAAAAGGAGGAGGATAAGGAAGAGGAACAAGAGGAAGGGGCCTAGCTTCTAGCCTCAGCACTAACAATAAAACAAAATAACTCCAAACTACAACATACAGTACAAGCAAACAAATGCCTTGGTTCTTAACATTTCCTGACATAGATGAGGCCTTGGGTGTGGATTTCATTTCTCTTACCATTCCTTTCCCTTAAGGCAGTTCACTAATAAGCCACTTATCCCAATTTTCTTCTCTCCTTTCTGGAAGCAATATGATCAGGGAGAGGTCATGTGGGGTTTGACAGTGAGAAGGTCCCCCAAACCACAGAGTACTGGTGCCCCGTGACCTGGGCAGGCCTATGTGGTCCCTCAGATTCCCTCCTCAGCACACTCTGACCCTTACATTTAGTAAAGGAACACAGGGTCCTGGCCATTCACCACAGTTGTAGAACTTTGTGCCTGCTCTGATTACTAATCTCCAAGTGACTGTGCCAATGCCACATCTCTGCCTCTTTATCCTTTCTGATTTCAGATCCTGGATGTGAATGTGAAGGCTCCAGCCATGCTGCTGAGCCAGCTGCTGCCTCACATGGAGAACAGGAGGTACATGCCTGCGGGGACCTACTGGTGTCTTTGAACACTGGTCTTTTCTAACCCTAGGAGGCACTTGGGGCTGGAGCCCAGAAAATGGGAGATTGTGGGAGAGATAGCAGGAGCGACCTTTGGGAAGCATTTTCCATTTTCAGCCCTACCTTCCTCCCCCCAGTCTGTGGCAGTTGTGATGAGGAGGGAGAATAGCTTGTCTTCACTGACCCTCATTCCCCTTGTCTCAGGGAATGGAAGGGACTTTTCTCCTTTAAGTGACAGCTTCAGGAATGAAGGTCTGAATGAAGCCTGAGGTCCCCAGCTTGACTCACTTTTTTTTTGTACCTTTCCTGAGGCTTGAACTCAAGGCCTAGACTGACTGTCCCTGAGCTTTTTTACTCCAGGCTGGTATTCCACCACTTGAGCCATGGCTCCACTTCTGGCTTTTTGGAAGTTAATTAGAGATAAGACTTTCCTGTCTGGGCTGGCATTGATCCTTGATTCTCAGATCTCAGCCTCTTGAGTAGGTAGCATTATAGGCATGAGCCACCAGTGTCCAGCTGATTCCCTCACTCTTGCCATCCTCTGTGGGCCACTTTACCTGTCCTCCTTCTGGACAGAGGCACTGTGGGCCCTTCCCTGTGCTCTGGGAGCCTGACTCTTCTGTATCTTGTGGCCATCTGGTGGCAGGTGAGACTGGGACTGCTTAGTGAAGCTGGATCTGACAGGGGACTTTATAACACAACAATGTTATGTGGGCCCTTCTGTGTCTCAACTTTGGGGTGTTGTCCAAGTGATACTACTCTGACCATGTTTATTGGGTTGTAGTGATCTTAGTGCCCATTAATTTAGAGCCATGTACTTTCCAGAAAGTTCTGAATAGTTCTCCAAACTTGTCTGCTTTTGAAACCAGAGCCCAAACTTAAAGGGCTGGTCAGACCTGGTCATTTGCCCAAATATGCCAAATAAAGGGAAGGGAGATTTATTACTAGTTATGGGCACACAGAAAGAAGAAAACACTTCAAACCATCTTCTGCGGTACAGATGTCAGCTTTTGGTTTAAATAGAAAAAGCATTAAGAGTCTGGGAAGTCACTATACATGGTTTAACAGTCCCAGTTATAGGTATGATCATAATACTTAATGCTTGCTCATCATTTGATTCCTGGCTTTGGGAGGGATTCTGGAGAAGTCACATTGTTGTCATCACTCCAGAGAAGCAGTCTGGTCAGGATGAGCAAGTCATTACTGTCTGGCAGTAATGACTTCTCTTTCTTTCTTTCTCTCTCTCTTTCTCCCTTCCTTCATTCCTTCCTTTCTTTCTTTCTCTTTAGTTTTAAAAGATTAAAAATAGTTAATTTGTAGGTTCAAGTAAGTAGCCAGTGGTTTTTAGCCAAAATGGTTTAAGTTCCTGTTACTTTTATAAAGTCTGTGGTTGGAGGTGTGGCTTAGTTGATAGAGTAGCTAGCCAATGAACAAAAGTGTCAGGTACCAAGTTAAAGTCCCAGGCTTGGACCAAAAAAGGAAAGAAAAGAAATAAAGTCATCATTAACTTTGAGCTAGTTTGCTCTTCACATAAAAGCAGTTTCTGAAGCCAGGTGCCAGTGAGTTATACCTGTAATTTTAACTACTCAAAAGGCTGCGATCTGAGGAATTACAGTTTGAAGCCAGCTTGGGTAGACTTATCCAAGAGATTCTTGTCTCCAATTAAGTAGAAAAAAGCTGGAGGTAGAGGTGTGGCTCCAGTGATAGACTACTAGCCTTGAGTGAAAAAGCTAAGCAAGAATGTGAGGCCCTGATTTCAAACCCCAGTGCTGGTGCGTGTGCTGGTACCTATCCACACACACACACACACACACACACACACACACACACACACACACATGATTTCCTGGTTTATCTGAAACTATGATTATTCAGTAGTTGTGGAAATGGATTACAATTCCATAAGTCCAGTTATGAGCACATTATCTGGTCTTTTAGTTGAACTCATCTCTTGTCTCATCCCATCTTCCTCCCAGGGGGAGCTCCGTGGTTCTGGTCTCATCTATGGTGGCTTATTTGCCTATACCAGTGAGTATGAGGCCCTCTGGTAGGGCTTGGGGTGTGATACCCTGAAACAGTGATGGGGAGGGTAGGACTGGCTGCAGATTTAGATAAAATGGAAGTAAGATGTGTACTACCAGCAAAATACCCTGAACACTGCAGACCACGTATTACAACCTCACGTTGCCATAACATCTCTGAAGCCCAAGGACATTAAGCTGCTGGTCTGGGGTTAGCATGGTTACTGCACATTACTGCAAGGACAGCTCCCTAGGTCTCTTATTCTAGTTGCTGGACTGAATACTTGAAAGCATAGTGCAGCTTTCTCTATGTCAAGCTTGGACACACATGACAGTGACTTGTTGACATATCCTTAAGTCCAGAGAAGTTCACTGCTTGAAAATTATTTTGGGGGGGGGTCTGGTTGTGGGGCCTGAACTCTGGGCCTGGGCGCTGTCCCTCAGCTCTTCAGCTCAAGGCTAGCGCTCTACCACTTGAGCCACAGCGCCACTTCCGGCTTTTTTTTTTCTTTTTGTTATGTGGTACTGGGGAATCGAACCCAGGGCCTCATGCATGCAAGGCAAGTGCTCTACCACTGAGCCACCTTCCCAGCCACTGCTTGAAAATTATTGTGGAGCAATGAGGAGAAAGGGAGAGGTTTTGTTTGGGCCTAGAGTCTGGAACTCAGAGTCATAGATTTCACTGGGACAAGACCTCTTCTTCCCATGCATACCCACTTTGTCTCCTGCCTCTGCTTTTCAGGCACTGGGAGTCTACAACACTAGCAAGACTGCCCTGTTAGGTCTGTGCAAGTCACTGGCTGTGGAGCTGGCACCGAAAGGCATCCGAGTGAACTGTATAGTGCCAGGAATCATCAATACTGACTTTAGCCAAGTGGTGAGCATAAAGCAGCTCCCGGTCCCATGCTCTCCAACCCCCATCTCTGTCCTGCTGCTCCCTTCTCAGACCAGCATCCAACCTGAACTGAGACACACAGACAGGAGCCCCAGTCAAGGCCCATCATCCAGGCTGCCTTACAGCCTTTGGGCCTAAAGCCTCCCCTTTCCCTGCAGAAGTTTGGGGGGGGGGAAGTCTCTATTCCCTGAGAGGAGAAGACCAGAGTTCTGCTGCACTGTCATTTTTCCAGTGGGGTCATCCTCCTGCAAAGACATCGGTCAATCCTCCACCTAACATTGACACTAAAATCTTTCAGCGGAAGTCATTGACCCACATCCAACCTGCCATAAAGGATATCTATGGATTGCTGCGGTAGGTGGGGAATGAGGGGGTGTTCATGGTTCATGTATACTAAAGGGGGAAATCCACTTTCTGGAGTCTGATTAGCATCAGGTCCAGGCCTGGGGTTAGGAGGGTGGGTGCTGAGGTATTGATCTGCCAGGGTGAATGTGAGGCCTTCTCTCTGAGCAGGCAGAACCTGAGGTCAGAGTTCAACAATGCCAAGGCTGTGGCCTCTGTTCTGCTTTTCCCAGGATTGGGGAGCCAGAAGAATGTGCAGGGATCGTGTCCTTCCTGTGCTCTTCAGATGCCAGCTTCATCACTGGAGAGAACATTGCAGTGGCGGGCTTCTCTCCTAAACTATGAAGAGCATGTGGCTAAGAGAATGTGGGCATGGTCTTCAGTGAAAAATGGGGGTTGGGTAGAGGTGGGAAGCCTTAGAGTTCCAGTCATAAAGGAAAACTTACTGAGGAAATGAGAAGGAGGTGAATAAAGTTTTGCATTTAGAAATAAATACATTTGGAGGCTTCTGGGCTCACTCCTATTTGGCTAGTGAGAAATGAGCATCCCCTTGATCTAGAACCCTCCTCTCTCTCTCTCTCTCTCTCTCTCTCTCTCTCTGTGGACTGGGGCTTGAATGTGGGGCCTGGGTGATGTCTCTTAGTTTTTTGCACTCTACCACTTAAGCCAAAACTCTACTTCTGGGTTTTTGGTTCTTAATTGGAGATGAGAGTCTCATGAACCTTCCTGCCTGGGCTGGCTTTGAACTATGATCCTCAGAACTCAAGCCTTTTGAGTAGGTAGGATTACAGGTGAGAGCTACTGGTGCTGTCCCTCCATGGGAGAACAAAGGTGTTCACTGATACCTTTTCCCTTTTCATGCCTATGTTCTTCTGCTCCTTTTAGGGATATAGGCAAATATAGAAGTTAATCGGGCAATTTTGTAAGTGCTCGTCCACTCCTAGCTTGGAAACCTCTCAACAGAGTCATTCCCCTTCCTGAGTGAGCAGGAAGGAAGGATGCCTTCAAATGATCTCTTCTTTTGGTCTCACTTTTAGTGCTATCTATACCTTTTTTCCTTGCAAAACTAATTTTATTTTATGTCAGAAACATTATTTGAAATTCAGAGCTAGGCAGAAGAAATAACAGCATATTCACTGCAGTGTTGGGCTTAGATTTCTATTGTCTCTGGGCAGAGGTTAATGTGCTGTTTTTGTTCATTCCAGATGCAAATAATTTCTGTCAAAAAGGGTGATGGTCCTAAGGGTTAATGGTTTATTTTCTAATTGGACAGTAACCACTTTGTGTCTAACATAAGAATTTTATGTTAATAATTGCTATAAATACCTAGCTTCTGGAGTGCTCTTTGAATTAGTTGTAACTGGTTACTTATTTCCTCATTAATTCATGAGTCAAATGAAATTGCTAAGCTCCTGTTTAGAAAGATTAAAAAAAACTTATCCCTGTTTTGGAAAACTCTTGGGTCCAGGAAAATCGAGACACTTCCTTGTAATTCTTATAGTAAAACTTGCTCAGATGTGAGGTTAGCACCAAACCTTTTGATCTCTCACCCACAGGGATAAATTTCAAAGCACTGTAATTAAACCTGTGGCTGCTTCCTTACCAAACCAGAGGCGAGACATTAGCAGATGAAGTGTGTTATAGAGCATGCTACTAGCTCCATTCTCTATTCCTTTCTTCTTTCTCTCTTTGTAAAAAGATGTGTGTGTGTGCGCGTGCGTGCATGCATGCATGCATGCATGTGCATGCACTCCCTATTCCTGAGACTTGAACTCAGAGCCTGTACTGTCTCTAATCTTTTGTACTTAAGACTAGTGCTCTACCATTTGAGCGAGAGCTCTACTTCTGGGGTTTGGGGGGTTTATTGGAGATAAGAGTCTCATGAACTTTTCTGCTTGCGCTGACTTTGAACTGCAGTCCTTACATCTCGGCCTACTAAATATCAAGGATTACAGGTGTGAGCCTTCAGTGCCTAATAAAAACCTTTTTATTTTTGAAGTGATAAATGGAATCAGGAGTCCTTGGAGTCAGTTCTCAAACATCTTTATTCTGCAAATAGTAATCTGGCTTTCAGAGGTTACATGAAAAAGTCTTCAGATCGGCTGATGAAGTTCAATATTAATACTAATAATCATTTGTGTACCACCTACTGGGAATATGTGTAGAGTTTTATACATATTTGGTTAAAAATAAATGCTTAAAAAAGAAAAAAAAAAGAGAAAAGTTTCAAGACTATGCCAGATAATTACAATGACCAGAAAGGAATTCTTTGGGTTTTCCCATTGACTCAAAACTCAAGTTTTGATCTCTGCTGGACAATCTCAGATCTCTGCTGGCCCTTTATCTCAACCAGCTTTAACAAGCTTTCAAAGTAAGTCAAAGAATCCAGCTGCAACAACTCTGCATAGATTTTCACTGGTATCACCATAGAAACAAACCTCTTACTTTGGGGAGAAAAAGTCACATTATAATGAGGAAAACTGATATACAACATAGATTAATGAACTGAACAGAAAACAGGGCAGCACTTGAAATAGGAAGGAACTAAATGACGGAAAGGACAGTTTAAGGAAGGAAACAGGATGAAATGCTGGTCTCAGAAGGGAGAGACAAAATGTATAACCCTCTTGTTCAGTTCTCACATGGTATAATATCTGGCTGCAGGCTCCTGGTGTGATAGTATGGTGATAAGCCAACAGATATGTTGACCATTTGTCAGAAACCCTAAAGGAATCCTGTTTTTGATTTGTGTCACAGGTCAATAATGAAAATAATTCAGTGTCCATGGTACACAAGCTTTGTGTGTGTGTGTGTGTGTGTGTATTTGTGTTTTGTGTGTGTGTAGCACTGGGACTTGAACTCAGGGATTTATACTTTTGATTTTATCCCACACAAAGTTGGTGCTCTACCACTTGAAACACCTCCATTTCTGGTTTTTGGTTTGTTGGTTGGAGATAAGAGTCTTATGGACTTCTCTGCCTAGGCTGGCTGCAAACTGGGATCTTCAGATCTCAGCCTCCTGAGTAGCTAGGATTGCAGGTGTGAGATACTAGCTCCCAGCCAAGATGGTTGAGAGGTCAGAGACATAGAGTCGCTGAAAGCTACAAGGAGTTTCTCAGATTTTCCCACTGTAACTTCCAGAGAGCTTTGGGCCTGTACTTGCTAAGGACTGTGGTTCAACTGCTTCAGTATATGCCTGTAACCTCGAGTCATGCATGCATGTACTAGTTTAGGGAACTGGCATGTAACCCTAAGAGTAGGTGTGAACACTTGACCTTATATAATCATAGTTGACCAGATGCTAGTTTTGTTTAATGGGGGTATAAAGAGGCACTATTGTTGGATAGTGTCATGCTAGGGGACAGTGTAAACCTGTCAGCAGTATGTATGCTGCCACTCCTGATACTGCTGGGCATGTTTGTAGCTGTTCATGAACTTTGAATAAAGCATGACCATTACCTATTTTATTCCACATGCCCAAATCTCATTTTAGTTTAGCTGGAGCTAAGAAACTGTACACAATACACTGAACTAATACAATGAAAAGACTTACAAAAGTGTATGTTTCCTTGCGTTACATTATTTTGGGCTGTGTTGTGTTTATTTCTGAATCCTCAGAAGTTAACAGAGGTTTTAGCTACATGAGTGTTGTTTAATACATTTTTGCTAAATGAACAAATAAAATCTTTGTGCCCCAGCATGAAAATAAAAAACAATAACGTAAAAGAAAAAACAGAACCTGCACACAGTAGCAGCTAAGGGGGCAGGGAATAGGCTAACATGGGGGAGGAGTATTCATGTATTCTCCTGGAGTAGGTGGAGACTTCTCAGAATTGGGATGTCACCTCTTTCTTCCTTGTAGGGTCTGGTATTTCTCATTGTGGCAGCTGATGGTCATGCCATTTAGCATGCAAATTAGATTATAATGAAGTTAGAGGTTACCTGGTTGTGGTTATTCTGGAAGCCATCTTGTTCCAGTGGGTTTTAGCTTCTTTAGCTATCCTGTCCTTATAAATAAGATTAGAAATTCAACAAGGTCACATGTCCATATTATCAAGAGCCTGAATTGCTTCTGCCTATTATTTTGGAAGATCCAGCAAAAATGACAAGTGAGATTTGCTATGCGTAACAATGAGATTGTGAAAATTGACAAGAAAAACACTAATGCCTAAGTAAATAATGGGAAATTTAATGAAAAACAGTCTATTAGAGGAAAAATGGCTTTCTCCTCTACCCTTAATGTTTTTAAGTGAGACTGTGATAGAAGACAGACGAACATGAGTTATAAAATCAAAATATTGGAAATAATTGAAATGACCCCAAATAAGGAGAATTTTAAGTAAATCCTGTGTATCCTTCTAGTCTCTTCCTGTTCAACCATATTACCATCCTCTTGGCTATTTCTTGAAAAGGCCATAATACCTCCAGCTTCAGGACAATCACAATTGCTGTTCTAGCTCTTTGGAACGTTTTCCCCTCAGATTCCTGTTTGCAATATTACCTCATTTAGTTTCCAGGATTTTATTTAAGTGCTACCTTTTTCATGGACCCTCCCCCCCTCTGCCTCTTTTTTTTGTTGTTGTTGGTTGTGGGGCCTGGATGCTGTCTCTGAGCATTTCAGCTCAAGGCAAGCGCTCTACACTTGAGCTACAGCGCCACTTCTGGTCTTCTGGTGGTTTATTGGAGATAAGAGTCTCATGGACTTTTCTGCCCAGGCTGGCTTTGAACCATGATCCTCAGGTCTCAGCCTTCTGAGTAGCCAGGATTACAGGCATCAGCCACCAGCACCTGGCTTCTGTCTCTCTTCCATATTCGTTTACTTGGCTTAATTTCCTCCCTAACACATACTACCATGAAACAAAAGGTTTTAATATTTAAATCCAAATTAAATACCACATTTCATTGCACTGCAAGTTATTGGGTGTTTCTAAAAATAACACAGAAAGAAAGACCTTTGAGTCAAATCAAGATTTCAAAGACCCAACATGTGAAATTGGCTGGGTGAGGAGCTTTCTTACCCTGTGAAAGTGACATTGCTCTATACCCTTTCCTAGTGCAGCTTAGCTATCTCAGGCCAATGATCTGGTTGGAGTTGGGCCTTTAGAAAATTTGCTGAAAAAAATCATCAGGATGTTAGACGATACTGGTTATTTCTTGTGGCCTTTAAAAAGATCTAGAAAGAAAGTCCAGGCACTAGTGGCTCACACCTATAATCCTAGTCACTCAGGAGGCTGAGATCTAAGGGTCACCATTTGAAAACACCCTGGGAAGGGAAATCCATGAGATTCTGATCTCCAATAAAACACCAAAAAGTCTGAAGTGGAGTTGTGGTTGGAGTGGTAGAA